GTCAATTCAGAAAGAAAACCATCTTTAATAGATTTAGCTGACTAAATGTATAAGCCAGGGGTGCTAAACACTCAGGCTGCAGGCCAGATCCAGCCTGTGGAGCTGTTATCATCTGACCGGTGGGACTCCCCAGGGGTCTGGAAATTTGGTAGCAGGGAAGCACTGGCCATAATGAAACAAACAGCTTAAAAAATCTCACAATAGTATTTGCTGTTCAGTTGCATTCCTGTTAGAGTGTTCTGTCATGTATAAAGTTAAAATCAAACCTAGTCAATATTTTAATAAGTTGTCAGGTATTTTCACTGCTGTATATTAAAACAGAGGCATCCTAAATATGCTATGTCCCAGTAGTGACATTTCAGAATTAAGTCATTTGATAGTGACAAATATTTTTCTTTCTTTTTTTTTTTTGCTAAAACATTTTTCTTTCCAATTGCTTTAGATCTTTTGCCTGTGAAATGTAACACTCTTGTCATGCAAGCATTTATTTCAGCAGTGGATTAAAATTCCATTCTTTGTAGTATTTTCCCTTGGTATAAAGTTGCATTTTGCCTCAGAAAAAGAGAGCGGGATACAAAGTTTATACTGAATTTCAGTTTAGCTTACAGTATGCCCAAATGATTTGCTGTAGTGATGCTGCAATCCATGTTGGAAAATGTTGCGTTAAAACCAAACAATCACTCTGATACAGCAGGTATTTTGCATTTTAATTAACAAGCAAGCCATGGTATCAACACCACCATTCATTATGTCAATAAACATTAACTTTTTAAGAAGGTATACATGTTCTCTTAGTTAATAACTGTTCTCTGGTCTTGAGCTGATTTTAAAGGGACAGGACATCGCTGTGATCCCAGAACTAGAGAGAGAAAATGGCACTCACAAGCTAACTGCTGGGTAGTTCTAGCATTTAAAAGATTCTTGACAATTTTGGCAAGACCCAAAATTCAAACTTTTTTCGATTCTAAACAAAAGGCGCATTTTGTTGTAGTGCATATTATACAGCTGTACTCCAAACCCACTTCATTTCACAGGGAGACTATTTCAAATATGCAAATCCTGGTTATTGTCTTCTTTACCAAATATCTGAGGTTGATTCAGCTTCCTGATTTATTTAGAAGTAGAAGTGATTCCTGCACCACCTATGCACAAAATTAATAATTTTAATAAACTCTTAATGATCCCTAGCAAAAAAAATTTAGACTTGTGTTTAGTATTAATTCTGTACTTGTATATGAAAAACAGCAAATTTCGAAATACTGTGCAACATTTTAATTGTAAAAAAAACTGAACTCCCCGACTAAAGAACTTATGGTCATATATGAAGTATAAAAGAGACAAATGAAAAGAAAAATCCTGCAAATTTGAAAAAAGATCACGTGGATATTTTAATTTTGCACTAGAAGAGTAGGAAAAGTAAGAACCAACCATTAAATTGATAACTTTTAAACAAGCACTGAAGATTTATTTCCATTCAACCTGCTATCAGCCAGGAATTGCGTGGCAGGGCAGAGGTAAACAAGGCCTAAAAAATGCCTGTATTTCAGATGCAGCACTTCATTTTATCCTGCCAAATACAAGCTGTCCAAACCCAAAATCCACTTAAGCTTATATACAGCAAGAAACTCAAATCATTCTTCGCTTGTTTTTCTACATAATTTCAGAGAACTTCAAGTCTACCTTTTTAAAGTCTAAACATGTTGAAAATGGGGGGAAAACATTTAAATTATAAATATAAATTAATTTTATTGTAATGATTAGAACAATTGGCTGCACCACCAAAATAAGAAAATACTGGGCAAGTCCACATATGCTCATTTTCTGTGCAGTACCTGAAATTACTGCACAGTACAGGCATGCATCTACATGTGCATCCCCATACTGCACAGTAGATGTGGTGACTTATGCTGACTTGAGTGTAAATTTGATACCTGCATCATGCAGGTATCAAATTTATGCCTGATAAGTTACTGTGCAATAACACATGTATAGGTGCCTTACTGCACAGTAACACTGTGTGCGTGTGGACTGACTTGGAACTAATTTTAGTCCTAAGTCAGTCCATACACAGCACTAATGTGCTTTAATGCCTGCGTATGTAGATGCTGGCCTATTCCCGCTTACCAGTGGCAATGCATAGGGGATGCACAGGGACGCTAGGAGAAGCCTCCCCCGGTCTGGCAAGATCAGCTGTGGGGACCCCTCTCCCCCACCCCATCCCCAGTTGCTGACTGGCCACTTGGGGGGGGGCGTTTGGGGGGGCATGTGCCCCTCCTAACTGAGGGGACACCAGTTGCCCATGCTGCTTACTGCACAGTAAATTTAAGCTGGCGTAAATGCATGTGTAGACATGCCCACTAAGAGGGAAAAGGATCATCATAAATGGCAGTGAAACAACCAAACTTTCACTGCTTTAAACAAGCAATCTTTGAAGATATCTGTGTAAATCTAAAAGTACTTAGCCATAGTTTTATCTCTAATAACAATCACTGTCCTAGGCTAATTATTTATGCTGTGAAAAAAAATTAAAAACATGTATAAAATGGTCAGCAGTACATATACTACTCCCCTTTCCCTACAGTCCTGAGCTTCTAGTCAGTGATTTTATGCAAGGAGACTCCTAGAAAAACAAATACTCCAGTTTTCTTACTGGGTGAACTTCAGGTGAGACAAAATCTGGAACTGAGACTACTTCATTTCTGACAGACAGTCAATTTTTGTCTTTTATATTCCACTACTCAGTACACCTAGACCATATGAAACTAAGTGCCTGAGCACTCTTCTAACACATCTCTCCTTTAACAAAAGTAAAACCAGAAGAACTTGAAGTTCTGGCATACAAAACTGAGGTACAGTCAATTGTATTAATTCATTACTGCATTTAGGAAGCATACAGAATTTTTTCCATACAAGGTTTAATGCCAAAGATAACAGAAGGTAAAAAGGAGGACTTGTTTTATATCGTAAAGATAGTTATTAAATTGAAAGAACACCATGAATGTTCCACTGGGGAAATGTTAAACTGTTCTATTTCAAAGTATTTGCATGAAGGAGAAAGGTTTCATACTATCTGAACTATTATAGTTCATAGGAATATATGAGTAGTTCTGCTCATTCTGACACCTTCCAATTCCCAAACACCACCTCTTTTCCTGGAGTGCTTGCTCATGCCAAGAAGCTGTCTCTGCAATTGAAGTTTGTCTGTTTGCACAGTCCAGTCTCTTTGTGTCTTGTGGAGAATTTCCAGGATTTCCTCTCCTTTTACTTCGTTAGAAATTATAAGTATTTTTATAAACACCATTGGACAAAGTAAAAAAAAATACCACCTTTATGGGGCCCATATATTTTATAACAGGGCTGTCCAGCTTCTAAGCACCTAGGGCCTTATGTCACACAGGCTACACTGGTGAAAGCTGTACACTACATGGGTCACACTAGTGCAGGCTGCAGACCCCCAGAGCTGTATGCCACATGGGCACCTCCTCCACCTCCACTGCACTGCACTGCACTGTGTGGACCCCCAGCCCCTACCCCTGGCTCTCTAGACATGGACACCTCTGCCACACGCTGCCACACCCTGACCCCATGGACGCAGAAGCTGGAGAAGGGAGAAGGAGTCTGAAGACCTTGGCTGCTGCAGCCTGAGTGATGGAGAGAGCAGCAGCCAGGTGGGAGCCCAGGGGCTACAAGTTAACCCTTTGCAGGTTGCTAGCTGAACAGCTCTGTTTTATAATATACAAATCTCCAGATCAGAAAAGTCCTCTCAGCAGCACCCTTTTGGCATAAAACTTTGTCTGAACTGATACGCAGATCTAACTAAGCTTACCTCTCCACCTTTTTTCATGGACAAATGTCTAGGCAGATTTTATTTTGCTGATACAAGAATATTTCAAAAAGCCCTGTCTCTGACAAATTCACTTACCAGTTCGTGTCACTAAGTATCGTCATGACCTCATCCATGATATTAGGATCAACAGTATCACTGAATGTTATCAGCATTTCATATAATTGACTGGCTGTTGTTTTCCTTATCTGGAGGGAAGGACAGAATTTTAGTTGCAGCAAAAAAGTAAAATTATTCAAAGTGCTATGTAAGAACTAAGTGATAACGGTATTTACAATATTAATCGTAGTATTTATGTGACTGGCAACAACTCTGGAATATGCTGTATAATATTCAGAATACAGAACTTCGAATCATTACCCTTAGACATTATTCCTGACTGCCAGTGATTGGCTGTGGGACCTAGAATCATAGAAAAGGAAGGCTGGAATGCACCTCTGGAGGTCATGTCCAACTCTCTGCTCAAGGCAGGATCATCCCTGTCCAAACCATCCCATACAAGTCCTTTTTTAACCAATTCCTAAAACTAAACTTTTAGTCAAGTCACTTGATCCCACCTGACTTCCTGCCTATGGCACAGGGACTGGACTTGATCTCATTAGGTCCTTTCCACCCCCTAATGTCTATGAAATCTATAAACTGTCAGTCCTGCTGCACAGCTACAAAGCATATTGCCCAAAGGCATTAAAAGCACCCTAACCTGCCATGGGTAAAGCAGGGGGACAAGGACTGTCAGTATCCCACCACTACAATGGTTTAAAATGCACTTGAGATATCCAAGGAAGAGAGCTGTGTGTCGCTTCCCTGCCCACCTCCCCCACTACAGAGGAAGGAAAACCCCCCAGTCTGTATCAGTCTGACCATGAGGTAAAATTCCTTTGCAAACCACAAATGTGGTGATCGGTCTGACTCTGAATGGAAGGGCAAGACCCCCAGGACTGCAGGGTTTTAGATTCAACAGGAGCACTGGCACACTCCAGTAAAGAATCCCCAGCCTTAGCTGCAGCCAACATACAAAACTTATGAAGGCAAAAAACCCTGACACCTGTTGCAACCAAATGGGAAAAAAATTCCTTCTTTGTTCCATGTGGCAATCAGCAAAGCCCAGAAGCATGGGGAAAACAAACACCCTCCACTCTGCTCTGCAAGCTGGGCACAGCAAGCATGACTCCACACATTACACCCTCTAACTGGACATCCAGAACTCCCCTTTCAGTATCCCCTCCATCAACTTATCCCACCTGGCTGTGGAGCTCTGCTTCTCTCTCCCGCTGAGCATGGCCCTCCCCAACACCCACCTGCTCTAGGCTGCAGATTTCTTCTCACCTTCCAGCAATCCGGGGGGGGCGCGAAGGTTCTTGAGCTTCCAAATGTGGCTTTTTACAAACCGCTCCAGACCAAACTACTAGATGATTCCTGACCAATGTTTATCCAACCCAGCTCCTTCCTGAAAACCTCCACTGTTCTACCAGTGAAGAAATTTTTCATCATATCCAATCTGAACCTACTCTGCTGCAGCTTCAAGCCATTAGTCTGCATCCTGTGCTCTCCGCAACAACAGAAAAGTGTTGTCCATCTTTATGGCAGTACTTCAGATATTGAAAGACTGCTATAATGTCCCTTCTTAGTCACCTGTTCTGCAAGCTGAACATGCTTATTTCTTACTTCTCTACATTCTTTTTAAAATGTGGAGCCCAAAACTGCACATAACATGGGTGACTGGCACCTCCTGAGTCGGGGGCATATGCCCCCCAGTGGCCAGTCAGCAACTGGGGGGCTGGGTCCCCTCACAGCCAATCTCTCTGGCTGAGGGGAAGAAGGGGACTCCCCACAGCCAATCACACCAACCCAGAAGCAAGAACACAGGATCCAGAAGTGCCAGTGGCGCTCCCAGAAGTGCCAGTGGCACTCCCGGAAGTGCCAGCGGTGCTTCTGGTGACCCCACTCCTTGGCCAGCGCTTGCAGGAGGGGAACTGGTGCTCCTGCCTCCCCCCTCCACCCATCCCCTAAGCAGGGAGCACACCAGCACTCTCGGGGGTGAACGGGCACCCCCCTGCACACATCGCCACTGGCACATAGTACTCTAGATGAGGCCTAACCAGTGCCAAGTAAATAGGCATCGTCACCTCCTATCCTTGCACCTGATGCTCCTCTTGATGCAGCCCAAAACCATATTTGCTTTTCTTGCAGGTACAGGGAACTTATTTCTCTACCTCAATTTATGCAGCTGTAAAGTAAACATAACAACAACACTTCCCTAAATCACAGCAGTGCTGTGAGGGGCAACAGAAGTATTAAATGCATCTTGTAGAGATGGCTGCTTGGTGACTTGCACATTACTTTGGCCTGTGCTACACATTACACATGTTATGCAACTAACTGGTTAATTATACAATAAACTTAGGTTGCCACATGTGCAAAGTACTTATCACACAATTAACTGGTGAATCACACAATAAATTTAGACGAGCTACACATGCAAAGTAATTATGGTGTGATAAAAAATAACTATCCATCTATAAAAAGAGCCAAGCTGCATTGTAATAAAATTGGAATTGAAAGTCATAAAGATGTTAATAAATGTTAAATAAAAACATCTTAAATGAGCTGGATAAATGAAGAAAAACACATTTATCAAACATGTTTGATTATTTAAAACTGATTCAAAGAAAGTATTGATGGTAGCTTGTGACCTAATGGATTACTTCTGATCATGTTTTCAAATGGTGCCTTAGCTTATAGACAGCTGCCTAGCAGTATTTTCAAAAGCACACAAACAGGGTTACTGTCTACCTCCTGCTGAAATCAATGATTTCTAACCTGCTTAGACACTTTTGAGACTTCTAGGAGGTATGTATCTGTGTTTAAATACTTCTGAAAATCTGACCCCATATCCTTCAAATATATACTTAAAACATTTAAGATCATATTTAGATAATAACTTAGACAATTCCTTTATAACTCTGATCTATACTGTAAGTATCTGTAGTAACATTTCTAATATAAACTACGTCCTATTCAAATCAGTCCAGCCATAAGAGCTTACTGACTCCGTGAGTATGCAGTGGCTATGAGAAAAAACATCTTGGTTGCAGTGTAGCGAATTTGCAAGAAGGACTCCTCCAGCTGTTCTAAAGAGTCTACACAAGCTGAGGAAGGTGGGCACTGAGGTGCCCTGGGAAGAGAAGTCCTTTAATGGAACTTCAATAATGTTGGGTGCCTGTACATGACCGTGGAACATGCTGTACTTACAGCTTCATAGTTTCATAGATTTAGGGTCGGAAGGGACCTAGTAGATCTTCTAGCCCGACCCCCCGCCAGGGCGGGAGAACAACAAAACCCCAAAACAAAAACGGGACTCAAATGAGTCCAGCCAGGTAGGCATCCAGCCTCTTCTTAAAGACCCCCAGGGTAGGGGCCAGCACCACTTCCCTTGGAAGTTGGTTCCAGCTCCTAGCCGCCCTAACTGTGAAGTAGTT